AGGAAGCTGTGAGGGAGTGAGGGCCAGAAGCTGTGAGGGAGGGAGGGCAGGAAGCTGTGAGGGAGGAAGGGCAGGAAGCTGAGGGAAGGAGGGACAGGAAGCTGTGAGGGAAGGAGGGACAGGAAGCTGAGCGAAGGAGGGCAGGAAGCTGAGGGAAGGAGGGGCAGGAAGCTGAGGGAATGAGGGCAGGAAGCTGTGAGGGAAGGAGGGGCAGGAACCTGTGAGGGAGGGAGGGATAGGAAGCTGTGAGGGAGGGAGGGACAGGAAGCTGTGAGAAAGGGAGGGAGGGGCAGGAAGCTGTGAGGGAGGGAGGGCAGGAAGCTGTGAGGGAGGGTGGGAAGCTGAGGGCAGGAGGGACAGGAAGCTGTGAGTGAAGGAGGGGCAGGAAGCTGAGGGAAGGAGGGCAGGAAGCTGTGAGGGAAGGAGGGGCAGGAAGCTGAGGGAAGGAGGGTAGGAAGCTGTGAGTGAAGGAGGGGCAGGAAGCTGAGGGAAGGAGGGCAGGAAGCTGTGAGGAAGGAGGGGCAGGAAGCTGAGGGAAGGAGGGGCAGGAAGCTGAGGGAAGGAGGGGCAGGAAGCTGAGGGAAGGAGGGGCAGGAAGCTGAGGGAAGGAGGGGCAGGAAGCTGAGGGCAGGAGGGAGGGCAGGAAGCTGTGAGTGAAGGAGGGGCAGGAAGCTGAGGGAAGGAGGGCAGGAAGCTGTGAGGGAAGGAGGGGCAGGAAGCTGAGGGAAGGAGGGCAGGAAGCTGTGAGGGAAGGAGGGGCAGGAAGCTGTGAGGGAGGGAGGGAGAGACAGGAAGCTGTGAGGGAGAGAGGGAGGGGCAGGAAGCTGTTAGGGAGAGAGGGAGGGACAGGAACCTGTGAGGGAGGGAAGGGGAGGAAGCTGTGAGGGAGGGAGGGCAGGAAGCTGTGAGGGAGGGAGGGCAGGAAGCTGAGGGGAAGGAGGGCAGGAAGCTGTGAGGGAAGGAGGGGCAGGAAGCTGAGGGAAGGAGGGCAGGAAGCTGTGAGGGAAGGAGGGGCAGGAAGCTGAGGGAAGGAGGGCAGGAAGCTGTGAGGGAAGGAGGGGCAGGAAGCTGAGGGAAGGAGGGCAGGAAGCTGTGAGGGAAGGAGGGGCAGGAAGCTGAGGGAAGGAGGGCAGGAAGCTGTGAGGGAAGGAGGGGCAGGAAGCTGAGGGAAGGAGGGCAGGAAGCTGTGAGGGAAGGAGGGGCAGGAAGCTGAGGGAAGGAGGGCAGGAAGCTGTGAGGGAAGGAGGGGCAGGAAGCTGAGGGAAGGAGGGCAGGAAGCTGTGAGGGAAGGAGGGGCAGGAAGCTGTGAGGGAGGGAGGGCAGGAAGCTGTGAGTGAAGGAGGGGCAGGAAGCTGAGGGAAGGAGGGCAGGAAGCTGTGAGGGAAGGAGGGGCAGGAAGCTGAGGGAAGGAGGGCAGGAAGCTGTGAGGGAAGGAGGGGCAGGAAGCTGAGGGAAGGAGGGCAGGAAGCTGTGAGGGAAGGAGGGGCAGGAAGCTGAGGGAAGGAGGGCAGGAAGCTGTGAGGGAAGGAGGGGCAGGAAGCTGAGGGAAGGAGGGCAGGAAGCTGTGAGGGAAGGAGGGGCAGGAAGCTGAGGGAAGGAGGGCAGGAAGCTGTGAGGGAAGGAGGGGCAGGAAGCTGAGGGAAGGAGGGCAGGAAGCTGTGAGGGAAGGAGGGGCAGGAAGCTGAGGGAAGGAGGGCAGGAAGCTGTGAGGGAAGGAGGGGCAGGAAGCTGTGAGGGAGGGAGGGCAGGAAGCTGTGAGTGAAGGAGGGGCAGGAAGCTGAGGGAAGGAGGGCAGGAAGCTGTGAGGGAAGGAGGGGCAGGAAGCTGAGGGAAGGAGGGCAGGAAGCTGTGAGGGAAGGAGGGGCAGGAAGCTGAGAAGAAGTTGAGGACATTCAAGTCTTAGGCTTTTGACTTTTTGAGGAAGAGACAGGCTCATTTCTGAGAGTGAGGTGGTCTCAGGACTTGGGAGAGAGCAACATCTGACCGCTTATCCATTGGATATTCAAACAAATCTAATGCAGACATCTTAACACAGTCCTCTGCACAGGGTTATGTGACACAGGATAACAGTCACGAGATTCAATTATCCATGTTTTCAAGAATTCATACATTTGGTATTATGCAAAGTAGCTTCTAAAAGGGATAGGCAGGCTTGAATGTGCGGGGGAACATATTATTGTTCTCATATTCTGCAAAGGAAATGGGGGAGGCTGGAAGCTTTTGTGGGAAGGGTGAAGGGTGCGACATTACTAGATTGGTAGGTTCATGTCTTACTTTCTCAGTTTTCCTAGCTTACAGTACTGAGCCATTTATTGGATGACTGCCTTCGTGAGTGAGTATTCCACATGTGCGGTCTTACCGATGTGTATATTGGGGTGCCATGCCTGGCTACCCCCACTCACACTAGAGCTACATCGACCTATGCCAGCTGTCCCAGATGGTAGCTGTCTGCCCTACCTCTGTGTGTGCCTTTAGGCAATGGCTGTGCTTACAAGGGCTAGAAATCTGTCCACCTGCTTCTGGATTAAGAGCAATCCACTTATTTTACCTTGGTTTATGTTTTAGTCCATTTCTGTTGCTTGTAACAATACATGAAACCGGGTAACTTATAAAGAAATAAAATTTGTTTCCTACAGTTTTGGAGGATGGGAAGTCCAAAGTCCAGGGAACACATCTGGTGAGGGCCTTGTTGATGGATGGTGACTCTTCACAGCAACGCAAGGTGTCACATGGTGAATAGTTTGAGCAAGAGAGCCGACCTCACTCACTCTCCTTATAAAGCCATCAGACCATGTCCATTGCCACACATTAAACCATCTAATTATTACTGCATGGATGGATCAGTCCTCTCAATCTAATCACCTCATAAAAGCCCCACCTTTCAATTATCATCATAGGGTTTCCCACCCTCAGCACTGTTGCAGTGGGGATTAAAACATGAACCTTTGGGGGACACAATTCAACCCATAGCAGTTTACTTTGCATTCATTCTTAAAAATTTCAATGGATCCTTATGAAGTGCCTACTGTGTGGCACATGTGATGCTATACCCAGGGGATGGGTGAGGGACGGTTCCCGCCTACTAATGCCTTCTGATAAACTTGTGTCCACGGGGGTGCTTTCATATTTCCTCTTCAGTAAGAGGACAGAGCCATGGGCACCTGCTTGGTTTCAAGTGAGGGTGATTATTGATTCTGGGATCCTAGGGGTCACTGTCTTTAGGAAATGCCTGAGGGGACCCAGCGTGGTGACAAAAGAATGGCTCCACAGTCAGATGAACTGGCTTTTTTTCCCCCTTGGGTCAATTTTTAAAAAGAATCTATTTATTGAAACATAATTGATTGTATATATCTGTGGGGTACAGCATTGGATATCAATAACTGTGTGCAATATGTGATGTTGAAATCAGGATAACTAGTCTATTCAATATTACACAATGTAATCATTTTTTGTGGCCCTTTACCAATTTCTTCCTACTCTTCCCTCCCCCTTTCCCACCTCTGGTGGCCTCAGTTCTGTTCTCTCCTTTTGAAAGTTCAGTGAATTATTGTGATTGTTGTATCTTTCTTCCATTTATTTATTTATTTATCCATTCATTCATTTATTTATTTATTCATTCATTCATTTATTCATTCATTCATTCATTCATCCATCCATCCATTCATTCATTCATTTATAGCTCCCACTTATGAGTGAGGACATGTGGTATTTCTCTTTCTGTGCCTGGCTTGTATTACTTAACATGATTTTCTCTAAGTTCATCCATGCTGTTGCAAATGGCAGAATTGCATTTTTTTTAATGGCAGAGTAGTATTCCATTGTGTGTGTGTGTGTGTGTATACCATATTTTCCTTATCCATTTATCCGTCGATGGGCACTTAGGTTGGTTCCAACTCTTGGCTATTGTAAATACAGCTGCAACAAACATGGGAGTGCTGATATCCCTTCGACATGATGATTTCCATTCCTTTGGGTATATACCCAGCAGTGGGATTCCTGGATCATATGGCAGTTCTACCCGTACTTGTTTGAGAAACCTCCACACTGTTTTCCATAACAGCTGCACCAATTTACAGTCCCACCAACACTGTAGGAGGGTTCCCCTTTCTCCACATCCTCACCAGCATTTGTTAATCTCTTCTTTTTGATAATAGCCAGTATAACTGGGGTGAGAGGGTATCTCAGTGTGGTTTTGATTTGCATTTCTTTGATGCTTAGTGATACTGGACTTTTTTTCATGTGACTGTTGGCCATTTGTGCATCTTCCTTTGAGAAATGCCTATTCAGCTCCTTTGCCCATTTTTTAATTGTGTTACTTGTTTTTTTACTGTTAAGTGGTTTGAGTTCCTTGTATATTCTGGGCATTAATCCCTTGTCAAATGCATAGTTTATGAATATTTTCTCCCATTCTGTAGGTTGTCTTTTCACTCTGGTAACTGTTTCCCTTGCTGTGCAGGTTTTTAGTTTGATATAATCCCATTTGTTTATTTTTTCTTTTGTTGTCTGTGCTTTTGGGATCTTATTCATAAAGTCTGTGCCCAGTCCCACTTCCTGAAGTGTTTCCATTCAGAATTGTATAATTTCAGGTCTTATATTTAAGTCTTTAATCCATTTTGAGTTGATTTTGGTATATGGCGAGAGGTACAGGTCTAGTTTCATTCTCCTGCATATGGATGTCAGTTTTCCCAGCACCAGTTATTGAAGAAGCTGTCCTTTCCCCAATGTATCTTCTTGTTGCCTTTCATACAGACCAGCTTTGAAACCAGTCTCTGGTCATTAAGAAAGTGTGGTGCCAGAAAAGTGACTTGGTCTCTCTGAGCCTCACCCTTCCCTACTAAATGAAGATAATGGTATTTTGGGTCTTTGTATTGCACCTCTTGCTACCAGCAAATGTTATCATTTATAAACGCAACCTCCTTTTGCTGCTGTAAGTATACTCTCTTGTAACCTCACACCTGAAACTTGTATATTCTGGGCTTTAGGAATTTTCAGTATTTAGAGATGAAAAATGGCAGAGCTCTCAAAAGAAGCAGAAGTGAGACATGAGGTGCAGCACTGACTGCCCAGAGGGACGGTTTGCAGCCGCAGTTTGTTTACTGTGAACGAAAGCAGCTGGAGTGACAGACTTCCCCTCAGGACCTCAGGGCACTGCACATCTGCATGTCACCCACAGTTCTGTCCTATAGGAGCAGCCAGCATGGTCTGGGCTGCAGGTCTGTAGATGAGGGAACTGAAGAAAGTGTTGCGTGTACAATGTGGTGCAGAGTCAACACAGCCTGGCTTCTGTTTCCAGTCCTGCCACTTACTGGTGGTGAGTGGAAGCTGTCACTGAACAGTCTGTCCCAGCCTCTATTTTCTCATCTGCAAAGTGGGAACACTGGCATTTGCCTTGCAGGATCCAGTGAGGATGAGATGCGTTCAGCGTGTGGACCTTCTTGTGTGTGCCCAAGTGCTGGGCAGATGTGGGAGATGGTTAGTGCAGGTGTCCTTGGCTGGGATTTAGACCCACAGTGAAGCACCACGCAGCAGCAGAGATGAGAGAAAAACATGTGTTTGAGCTTTCCTCTGGGGAAAGTGCCCTCTATGTTGTAGGTGTCTGGAGAACTGATCTGATTTCAGAGTCGGTAAATCTCAGCAGCAGAGATGAGAGAAAAACATGTGTTTGAGCTTTCCTCTGCGGAAAGTGCCCTCTATGTTGTAGGTGTCTGGAGAACTGATCTGATTTCAGAGTCGGTAAATCGTATTGGTGATTCTAGGTCAGAAGATAACATATCCAGCACCCTGTCTACTTTACTGCCTGCCAGCCCTTCTCCACGCATGCTTGGCTTTAGGATCCTTTTGTTCTGTCTTCCAGCTCTGGATGAATACCTCGGACAACGTGGAGCTCACGCTCTTTTCCCACCTTGTGGAAATCCTGCAATCACCAAGGTATGCTGGACTCAGCAGCCTGTGGTTAGAACTAAAGTCTGCTTCCCAAGAATAGAGATGAGAGGGCAGGACAGCCAGTGGTTTCCAGCTCCCAGAGCCCTGGGTCCCTAGGGGGAGCATGGCCTTCCCAGTGGCTCACAGGGGTGGGGCAGTTCTGTCTCCTCTGATGGTCTTGGGCCTCAGGAGGGCAGGTTCTGGGGGCTTAGAGGCCTCTCTAGTCCGTGTCCAGCACCATACCGTGGGCTCAGCAGATGTGGACAGCAAAGGGTCCCTCTTCTTCCAACTGACATCAAGTCAGTTTTTGAATTAGTCAGGGCTCTTTTGGTTGTAAGTGGCAGAAATACAACTCAAATCAGCTTAAGGAAGGAAAAAAAGGAGGAGAGGGGGCACGGATCAGAAAGGAAAGAAGAGAGGGAGAAAAGAGGGCCAACAGAGAGGAATTCGTTGGCTCATGCAGCTGAGAGGGGCAGATCTTCACCCATGATTGTGTGCTGCTTGTGTCACTTTACCTGAGCTCTGTTACCTGCTCCTGTCTACACTTCTTCCGTGTTGTCTTTGTTTCTCAGGCTTTCTTCTGTGGTACAAGGTGGCTGCTGGGCGGTTCCTCAGATTGTATCTCCAGCTTAGCACAGTCAGCAGAGAAAGCTTTTTTATTTATTATTATTATTATTATTCAACATTCCTAGCAATAAGATTGAGTCCCATTGGAACAACTTGGACCCCACGGCCGGGCTGAGAGCCTTCACCTCTGGAGTTGTTGAAAGGTAGTTAGGAAGGGGTAGTTCCCAGTGCAAACCAGGGGTCATGACCAGAATAAGGAAGAGAGGCAAGGAAGCCAGCACCCCAGCCCACCTGGTTCCTTCCGGTCAGGCTGTCTAGCGCCTTCGGTGTTTTGAGCGTAGTTGTAAACATCTTTTCATTCAGCACTTATTCTTGAGAAGCTATTATAAACTCACGACGTTTCCCACCCTGTTCTCAGTGCTGGAAATTCAGAGGAGAATAAGATAGAGGTCTGTGGAAGGTACAGGAAAACACACGGGTGTGCACGGTGCTAGGAGAGTACCAAAGCATCTGGAACTTAGGTGGGGGAAGGCGCATCTTCCCTGTTGAGCAGATGAACATAAAAGCCGATGAACACAGACTGGGCTGGTTCTGCCTCTTTTGCGTATCAGGGACGAGGAGCTTGGCAGAGTTTAACATAATACTGAAAAGACAGTTCAAGAGAAGTCATCTGCCCAAATCTCCCCTCCTGCTCCTTTCGTTCCTTCCACTTTCCACTTTCTTTCTGTACCTGTACCTGCTGTTTTCCAAGAAGTGAACATTTATCCTGGGAGCTGTTTTTTAGGGGGGAAGTAGAATTTACTGGATATCGGATTTGTGATGATCCTAAGAAGGGGTGTGGATATTGAGTCCTGTCTCTCTCCCCTTCGACTCTCAGCGACGTGTTCATGCACTTTGTGGTTCGGGGTGGGCAGGAAGGCCACTCACCTAGACAGGCTCTCCAAGGGCCCTGTATGCCTGCTTGCTGGGAAGTGCTGCTAGGCCACATGCATGTCTGATGTCTTTGTTCTGAGTTTTCTGAGGCCAACATTAGTTTTCCCTGAAGCTTGGAATTCAAAAGTCAATAATTGGGGTTTGTCTTTGAAGGCAGTTTCCGGGGGTGGAAGGGATGGGTGGTGCATGCCTGAGTGACTCTTGGCACTTGGCAGACATATATTTGATGGCGTCTGGCAGCATCTTGACAAGTTGCCAAGAAAGTGTTGGAGTCAGAGGGCATGGAACAAGCCTAGCTTGGAAATCCCTTTTAGCAGAAACACAGTAAATTTGGTTCATTCCAGTAAAAGCTTTTACTGCCTCTCTCCTGGGCTCCCAGGGAAGGACCCAGGAATGCTGAAGTTGCTCACCAGGCCCAGCTTGTGCCCAAGCTCATCTTCCTCTTCAGTGAGCCAAGCCTCACCCCCTCCAGGATCCCCACCATCATTGCCATCCTGGGCTGTCAGCTGAGGGGCTACTTCAGCATCCAGGACTTGCTCAGGTACCTGGCCAAGCTTCCCAGGGGAAAGGCAGGGACCATGACTGTTTTACAAGGGAAAATAGGCCCCAGCTCTCTTCTGACCATACTCAACCTAACATCACTGGGAGCCTCCTAGGGCCTTCTGTCCAGGGCTGAGAGCTGGGAAAAGGGGTGGGTTTGCAAGAGTCAGGTGACTGTTTTACAAGGGAAAATAGGCCCCAGCTCTCTTCTGACCATACTCAACCTAACATCACTGGGAACCTCCTAGGGCCTTCTGTCCAGGGCTGAGAGCTGGGAAAAGGGGTGGGTTTGCAAGAGTCAGGATGGAACATGTAGGTTTTCCCAGCAGGGCTATGTGTTCAACTGCCCCCTGGTGCTCCAACTCCTGTGCCCCCAAATCCAAGAATTTTCATGAGCACAGCCATCCTTACCAGCCTGTGGCCCACCACGACTGCCCCCTGCAGACTTCCCAAAGGACAGTCTCGGTTGGCACCATGTTTAGCTTTTTCTTTTCTCATCATGATCGGGCAGAGCCAGAGGTAAATTCTCTAATGAATCCTGACATATTTGAGAAATGTCTGAATGTATTGTATTGGTCACAGAATAATGTGGCTCCCCTCCAGCCCTCGCTGGGAACCACACTTGGGTGGATCTGTAGGTGACGCTGCCATGTGCTCAGCAGACATGGCCGAGCCCATGGTCAGGCATGTGCTTCTCTCCCTGTTGTGTGAAGGATCGGGCTGTTTGTCGTGTATACCCTCAAGCCTTCGTCAGTGAAAGAGAGGCAGAGCTGCATGGATGGAGCCCCGGACCCCTCCATGCCTGGTGAGAAGACCTTTCCCAGACACCAGTCTGCAGGCAGCAGAATGAGCTTCACAGGCCCTGAGAGGCACACGCATGGGCCCATTTTGCAGAGGGAAGGGCTGAGGCAAAGGAGGGGAAGGCACCGCTGCTGAACAGCAGTCACTGAGTGCTGGCTTGCGAGGCAGTAGTTGTATGACTGGGCCACAAATCAAAACAAATGGTGTATTCCTGCTTCAAAACCTGGAATGGCTTCCGAGGCCTCCAGGATATAATCAGTTCCCTGTAGACCAGCACCTGGGATCCTTTGTGCTTTGGCCCCTGCCTCCTTTTAGGTTGAACCCCCACTACCCCTGCTCCCCCGCTGAGCCCGACCTCCAGCACTCTGAAGCATTTGCAGGTCCTGATGTGTGACGGTTGGCCCTCCAGTCTTTCCACCTGCTGTTCTCTCTACAGGAGGGCCACCCCCTGCCCCCGCCCCCGCACTAGACTAGCCATTTCCAATCCCATTGAACCAGATGAAGCCCCTTGGGCTTGTTGTAATTTGAGTCTCTGAGTCTCTCTCTCTCTCCACAACCAGATGCAGAACAGCAGCTACGTCATGTCCAGCATTCCCTCTGCTGGGGCAGTGTGAAGGGAACAATTGTAACCACTTTGTTCTGGGCCATCCAGATCTGCTCTAAGATGGGAGCCTCTAGCCACCTGTGGCCTTTTAAAAATTTTAGTTAATTAAAATTAAATGCAATTAACAATTCAATTCCTCATTCTTAGCCACATTCTAAGTGCTCCATAACCCTAAGGCTGGTGGCTACTGTATTGGACAGGGCAGATATAAAACAGACTTAACACAAATGATCCTCTTGGACAGGATTACTCAATCTAGATAAATCACATTGTTTCTTATCCTTAGATCAAGCTTCAGTGTGGGAATTAGTATTCCCATTTTGCAGATGGAGAAGCTGAGGCTCAAAGGGATTAGCAGCTTAATAAGAGATGGGGCCAGGATCCAAATAGAGGGAAATCTGACTGCACTTCTCCATGCTGCCTTCTCAGCACTATTTATGCAGCATGGTGTATGTACCCTGAATTACCGTAGTGCTAAAATGACCAGCAAGCGAGGGGATGAGTGAATGGAAAGTGGGCCAACAGTTAGCATATTTAGTTAATTTTTTTCTCATGTGGACTTCATTCTGAGCTATTTATGCAGCATGGTGTATGTACCCTGAATTACCGTAGTGCTAAAATGACCAGCAAGCGAGGGGATGAGTGAACGGAAAGTGGGCCAACAGTTAGCATATTTAGTTAATTTTTTTCTCATGTGGACTTCATTCTGAAACTTTTATCTAACCAAACATATTAAAACATTGTTAACATGTCCTCCAGAGTTTTCATAACACTTCAGCAATAAAGTTTCTTCTGCTGCTGGATCTATACACCTCTGCTATGATTCAAGTTTTATTTTTAGTGCAACATTGACTTGCAAAAGCCCTAAGCTAGAAGCGATTGAAAGCAGGAACCAGAACGAAGACTTCGTCTTCACCACTATGTTCCCAATGACTTACATAAGACCAGCACATAGTAGGTGCTCAAGAAATGTTGCAGCCCACGATTTTAAAAAATTTTCTTCTACTAAAAGATAAATAATCATTTTTAGTTATTTTGCTTTTGTTTTTGGAGGATAGGCAGCATTGAAGACATCTGTAGTTAAAGGGATCTTTAGGAACATTTCCTAAAATTCTTTTTAAGCATTGCATTGAAGTCTAGAATTGAATGCCAAAATTTTGAGTCCCATCCATGCCCCAATTCTTGGGTGAAGTAAGCATTTGGTAAATATAGTTGCTTACTGTAGCAAATATTATGTCTCTTTACATCTGTTTTCTCTCAAATCTGAATTTTCTTTTTTGTAGCTGGAAGCCAAACATCTGGAAAGACAATCTGGCTCAGAAACCAGTTGCTGGAGATGATGCTTAATGTAATATCTTCCCCCCAACTTCATCTGTCCTCTGAGTAAGTAACTCTAGGAAGAGCAATTTGGCATGAGGTTGCCTCATACAGGGCACGGCATTAAAATCTTTTCTTAATGAAAAGTTTAGCATCTCCAAGTCTGTTTTCTGCAATGTGCTTCCTGCACTAGTCAGAAAGAAAATTATATTCTCTCCACCCAATAAACCAGACCTTGCCCTAAGATATTCTGATGCAAATGTTAAACGGGAATGAGTAACTAGGAACACATTTGGAATAATTACAATAAACTCCTTTCTCACCATTGCTATTGTGTGATTGTTATTGTTTTGGCAGTTGTGACAATTACCGACTTTGATGTTGTGTATTTGGCAGACAACAGAATGGAAAAAAATGGTTAGCCTAAATTACATCTATCTAGGAAAAGGCTTGCCAAGTTCTTCTGCTGTTTACTGTTAGTGATTTAGTTATTTTTCCAAGTTGGAAAAAGAAGTATCTACCTTCAATTAACTTTCAAAATAATGTGTCATCATAAAGTGGGGTATTCTGTTAACTCTCCCTCACTATCTGCGTGCTTTACCTTCACCCCTGAAGTCATTCATTCAACACCTATTGTTGAGTACCTTCTGAATGCCAGACACTGTTCCTGGCTCCTAGGATACAGCGCTGAGGAAACCAGCCCAGACCCTTGCTCTCACTGAGCGTGTGTGTGTGTGTGTGTGTGTGTGTGTGTGTTCAGGTATGGTAAAGAAGCCTTGCAAATATGTTTAAAAATTTACCAACCTATAAGTCTTTAAATTCCTAGAATCAAAACATGGTAGAACTAGAAGATGTCTTGGAGATGAGATAGTCCAGCCCCTTCCTTTTCCATATTTTTGAAAGAGAACATAAGTTATTGCTTAAGCCTGTGGACTCTGGCATCTAGGTCTTCTAGGTTTGGATCCCAGCTCCACCCCCAGGAACCCAGGGGAGGTTACTTAAGCCTTGAATGCCCCTCTTTACTCATTTGTATGAAAATAAAAATTGTACCTTCCATAGATGGCTGTGGTTATGATGAAATGAATTAATACGTAGAAGACCTGAGAATGGTGCTTGGGGTACTGTAAACACTCTAGAAGCTAACTGCCATCATCACAGTCACCATCATCAATACTGACCATCATCGTTCATGCTACCATCACCAATTTCGTCATCACCATCATCATCACCACCATCACCATCAACACCATCACCGTCATCACCACCACCATCACTGTCACCATCATCACCATCAGCATCCATCATCCATTACCATC